AGGGCTTACGCGGCGTCCACAAGGCGATGCAGGGAGTAAGCGTAAGAGAGTTTAGTGTCCGTCGTCTCGTATCCTAAGTGCGGTCAGTAAAGGGCAGATACCGGTCACAGACACACCTGCCAGCGCCTGTCAGCGGCCTCACGAGTCGTTGTAAAATATCAGGAGGTTGTGAATATACGAGGAAAGACTTACCGCTATGGCTGCTCGCTCGTGTCGTGCTGTCGTGGGGGAAGTTGGGGGGAAGAGGAAGAGAGCGCGTGATCGGACTTTGAAACTGCGATCGAATGTAAGCCAACATACACGTGATCATTTCGGCCACCTGCCAGGCAAAAGGACTTGAACGGATTTTCTAAATCCACTCGCAAATAAAAAATAATGCTGGAGGGTAGTCTGACAGCCGAAGGCCCTACTCAAAGTCGGCTGTCAAAAATGTCACTGGTCTTCCTACATGGTATGTAAGGATTGTCACCTCGATAGTGTACACCTCTTTAGGACGGCTGAAGGCCACGAACGAAGATGTGGATGCTTTCATGGTCACGACCACAGAGGAATGAGGATGCTGGGCATGCTGCGGGTGGGCATGTGGAAGATACCGCGAGAGAACTGCACCATGAGATTGTTGGGCGTCGCTTTAGAGAGAAGCATACGCCGAGTGATGCTGGACGGCGAAGCACAATGACGAGCCACGGCTGTTCATCAGCACAGAAGGCCGCAACACATTTCGACGTCGAGTGCCGCAAGCCAGTATGAAATTGGGGATTCTGGCTCGCCAGGAAGAGCAAGACATGAATCTTGATCGATGAGGTTACCGAATAGAAAAAGAGCGGTACCAAATCGCATGAAAAGCTGTCGGTAGTTCGACGCAAGTGCTGTGAACGGTGTTAGATTAGACTGGAGTAATACGAAGTTTGTACTCACCTTTCGTCGTTTACGTTTGTGACCGGAATGCGACGAAGAGATGCTCTCGAATTCGTCAAAGTCGTGGTCGTGGTCTGTGTCCGAATCCGCTCGCTGCCTATCGAGGACAACACAATGTGGAGCCCAGAGGATAGCGCGGGCCTTCCATAGAGGTCCTAGAGGTAGGCCCACAACTGGAGGCAAGCTGTGTTACATGGGGAGTTCCCCATATAGGGAGCAAAATAGACACAGTACAAACCTACCACACGCACCAGCAACATATCTGGCTCAATCCGAGGGCCTGCTGCATCCACGTTCACAGCGCAGTGTCGTCGAAAGGTCGCCTTAGCGAAGAGGAGCACGAGAACGTTGCCAACAGCGCAATCGCGAAATCAGGAAGGACTCGCAGCAGATTCCAAGACCACGGTGACTTAAGCAAAACTAAGCGAAGCATCAAACTCTTTAATGATAGCAAGACACGAAATGAATGTAGCGGAGAGCAGGTTGTCCTAGAGCCGTTGCAGGTAGGAGCAAGGAGGGAGTACTGATCTGCACTCGATCATCATTTCTCTCTCTCACCACGACCACCTCAATGCAGGTGCTGCCATCTGGCCCTCTCTCCGGACCCTTCTCTCTCGTTTGCACGGCCGTCGAGGATGACTCTTCACCATTCGCGAACGCGTAAGCCTCCGGGACCTCCATGTCTCCAACGAGTGGGTAAGCTGGACAGCGCCGCGGACGCGTCCAGCGCCAAAGGTGTGTATTGTTTGATTTATTTTCTCTTTGAATTAATTCTCATTTATGTATACTAGGCTCTCGTCGTCCATTCCTGCCATTGGCCTTGACCCGAAGCGGCGATGTTTGATATGCGAGAACGGCTCTCGGCAGCACTAGCTTGCGTTCTGCTCTTCCAGTGAGCGACGCCGTCGCGTAAGCCTCCGGGACGGAGCAGCAGCGCTTCAGGAAAATGATGACGGGCTTCAAGAGGCTGGATTAGCCCCCGCGCCGTCATGTTGGTGCCTCCAACGAGGCAATGAGTCGGATTTCGGGCTGCAAGGCGTCGCGGACGCATCCAGCCTCAATCTGTGCGTATTTCTTCTTACTTTTTTCCTTTTAATTGACGCGTAAGCCCCGGCGAGGCAGCGTACGACGACTCAGGACTTGACGCTGCGGCTCTCGCGGCAACGAGACGCGTCAACCCGCAAGGCTGCACGGACCACAATGACACCCTCTCCAACGACAAATCTCATATCAGTGTCTCGGTTTGCTGAGTCCTCTCTGGATGCTTTTCTTCGTCTTCTTTCCTTTTGGATCGATAACACGCGAGAACGGCTTCCGGCAGCCGTGGGGACGACTTTGTTACATTCTGCTCTCCCGCCGAGCGACGTCGCGTAAGCCTCCAGGACGGAGCAGCAACGCTTCGAGAAGACGGCGACGGGCTTCAAGAGGCTGGATTAGGCCCCGCGCCCTACTGTCTCTACTGGTCGTTGTGAATGTCATATTCTCGGTCATCATAAGTATATGTTTGCCCGTTTCGCCCAACATCACGAGATGATATGTCGCGATGTTGTGATTTCGTCAGCTACAAGTTGGTGGACTATCCAATTCTTGTGAGTGTTATTCATTTCATGCTGCTCAAGGTGCTGACGCTGATTTGGCATTCAGCGAAGGCGGGCAGTACGAGTGCGCGATCAAAAGCTTCGGGCTCGATGCGTTCACGCAGGAGGACGACTGTGAAACTCGCTGAGGATGAAGACGATTACGAGCACCCAGAATCGAGGAAGACAGCGACGATGACCTGGTAGCGCACGGAGCTAAACGCAGAGGTCGAACGAACTCCTTCAAATCGGCAGATCCACGTCCACAAACCAACTACGGAAACTCATAATCCACGACGAGGCAGAGCCTCCCTGTCGCCGAGAAATCAGAACACGACAACTCACCTTCACTGAACTTACGATAGTCCGTAATAGTTCCGCGTCCGTATGTCTTTCTTTATCAACTTGTGCACCAGTAGCTGATGTAGAAAATCACAGCCGGGAAAAGCCGCTCTGTGTCTATCCTATGTGTTCAACACACTCCCACGAACACGATGAATCTGTGCATCATGAAGAGGTAGTCCGTGATGATCCATCTCTACAAGAGCCGGCATCGGAATCAGAGCCCGAAATTATATCCCGGAAACCGAAGCGCGAAAGCAGATACCTCCCTTATCCAATGTCGAGGCGATGTGGACGAATTTACCGCCGAGGAAGGACGGCGTGCGCGCCCAGCTCGAGGTGCTCGACCAGAAGAGCTGGAAGGACCTCACCATTGACGAGAAGAAAGCTGGTTCGTGTCGCACTCATTCCCCAGCCGCAGCCGTACTGACAACGAGCAGCATACTACGTCTCATCTGGTCCTCATGGCGCGCGCACACCTGTAAGCAAGACCAGCGACGGCCTTAAGGTCCTTGGCGGCGTGCTCGTCAGCCTCTCTGATAGTGCTGCCCTCTTCTTCAGTATCCGTGCTGTAGGCTCCTCTGCTCTTCCCAGACCGCTACTGACCGTACGACAGCCCCGGAAGCACCTCGTACTTAACAAGGAGTGGCAGGAGGCATTGAACCAGCAGCATGCCTTCGACCAAAAGTTGAACCTGTATACCTTTTGACTATTGATTAGAAGAAGCGGGCCTCCGGCAGCTTAGCTCGTCGTACATCATTACTATATGTATCTAAAGTACTTAACTCTATATTGCTGAATTGAAGTAGTTTGAAGCTGAAATATGATGACTGGAGTTCAACTGTGTATTACATCAATGCATGAAGTTGATTGGAGCTATTTCAAATTTTCAATGATATGGCACATACTCAAGTTACCTCTTGAGAACTTGCAGCAACTTCAGTAGAAGGGTGATGCCTGAGTTAACTCTTGAGGACTTACAGCAACTTTTGCAGAAGGCTGATCTTTAAGTTGCTTAAAGTTATCCCGAGTTGTCCCTGGCAACTTAGGCTCCTTGGGTCAACCAGAACATAGGGATCTAAACTTAAGTCAACCAGACGCCAAAGTGCTTTTCCTGATGATAGACCCTTAAATTGCCTTATTTGGACAGTCCCACCTATGGCGGGACCTGAAATTTCCTTACTTGGAGGCTCGTGCCTGGCCAAAGTGGTCCGTGACCCATTATGGTGTATATATAGCTTCACTTCAAAGACCTCCGTGACCCGTTATGTGAATTTGCGGTCGAAACACTACAGTACTGCGCGTCAGCTACAGCTAGCGCAACCTTAGTAAAATATTTAAAATTGACTTCGGTCTTCTTAGGGTGGTGAAGTAAACCCTTGGTTTTGATACACCTCGGGTTTACTGCGGTTACTAACGGTATCGATACGGTATTGAAACTGTCGGGGGTCGGGAGGTAGGTTTCGATACCGGCACGTGATCACTTCACGTGACGGCGCGCTGGCGCTAAGAGAAGCTGAGAGTGGCGGGACAAGGGCGGGATGAGGGCGGCGAGCCACTGCGCCACATCACGTGCTCAAAACACGTGCCGGTATCGAAACCGTTATAGGGTAGTGGAAACAACCTAGGTTAGAGTACCAAGAGGTTGTTTCCCGGTAAATTACCAGTTATTTACCAGTTTGTAACCTAAAGCTGTTGGAGGTAGGTTATTTACCTGCACGTGACATATCCACGTGATGTGTGGCGCACGGAAAAAGGTAGTCCGCATTATATTCAGAGGCAAGAAAATTTACTATTCTTGCCTTTAAAATCTATCTGACTCTGATGGGTCCAAAGAAGTGGCATCCGGAGGGGAAAGACTGAAAACACTTGACGGTTGCTGCCGCCGCGGCGAGGTCACGTGAAAATATCACGTGCAGGTAAATAACCGTTTTTAACCGGTAAATAACCTGGACCTCTGGGAGGGTAGGTAAATAACGGTTATTTACCACCTCCCGAGGTTATTTCCACGACCCTAAACCGTTACTAACGGTTTCAAAACCAGGGCCTGCCGGGGGGGGTCGGTATCAATACCGTTACTAACACCCCCCGGAGGTTTACTGCGCCACCCTAGGTCTTCTGCTGCCTGCACAATTTGAATTTTGCATTTTACACTTCAAAAAGTTCCGATACGGGGAATCGAACCCCGAGCTGCCGCGGATTCCTTCCATTCAATGGGCTGTGAAAGGCGGCAATGTTAGCCGTTACACCATATCGGATAGTTCCTGTGCGCCTTTGTCTTTCCTCACCCCATCAGCGACACCTTCACACATTGGCTGAACGTTTAACACTCGTCGGCAAGGTTGACATAAAGCAAACATCAATTTATAAGAATATGGAGACTCAACGTCATCTCTCCTTGAGCATATCACTCTTGGCGCACGCCGCCTAAGCAATACAGATAGGATGTATGTACCTTTCAAAAGTCAATCTTCTTCACCACTTCACCACCCATCGCCCGAACATCGTCCAAACTCTGATACCCAATCAACCCTAACGTCACATCCAGATCCGCCATCGTCTGTCTCAGCACCTGCTCCACTCCCTCCTGTCCCGCAATGATGGAGCCCCAGAGGTACGCACGTCCCACTGCATAAATAAATATGTGTCAGTGCTAGAGGTAGGCAAGATGGATGTAGCGACTAACAGAAAACACCCTGCGCCCCTAGGGCGAGTGCTTTAATAATATCACTCCCCGTTCGTACGCCCGAGTCGAGGAGGACGGACAAAGTCCCCGCTTTTTGAGCCGCTACGACTTTCGGCGATTGCATGATGTCGACTAGAGCGTACAGCGACGGGATGGCACCGTCGACTTGACGCCCTCCTGCACATTGTCAGGTTACACGCAGATGTACGCGTTTGGAGACGCGTACCGTGATTAGACACGACGATCCCATCAATCCCATACTCCAGCGCCTTCTCCGCATCCTACACATCAATCAGCCCTCTGACACCGACATCAATATAAAGGCTTACACTAGCTTTCAAAATGCCCTTCAAAACAATCGGCCCCGTCCAATTGTCTCTCAAAAGCCTCAACGCGTCCCAGGACCGGTAGTGCCCCGAGCACACCTCCGCCACCCAGCCCATACCAACCTTCGCCTCGTGCGCCTGGTGGGCGTCGCCCTGCTGCAGCAGCGCGTCTAGTTTCTTGTACTCGTACGGAAACGAGGGACGATGGTTCGTCACTGGTTTTAGTCCAAGCTTTGCCATGAACACAGGATCGGAGCGTCCGACTTCGTTCCCGTATCCGTGGAGCGGGGGTGCGAACGCTATGATCATCGTCGTCATAAGGCAATGATATGCGTAGAAAGAGACAGCCACATACTTGCGTTAATATCATGCGTACGCCATCCAATCGAGAAGTTGTCTAGTGTGACCACAAGCGCACTGTATCCGTTGTCCTTCGCTCTCTTGAGCAGAGACAACGTGATATCGTCTGATTTAGGCCTGTAACGTCATCAACAAGGAAACCCTTAGACAGCTCGACATCATACCAATAAAGCTGAAAAAACCTATGCCCATTCCCATTCGCCTCCGCAACATCCTCGATACTCCTCGAAGCCACACTGCTAAGCACAAACGGCACACCAAGGACCCTACCCGCTCTCGCCGGGGCGAGCTCACCTTCCTCCGTAAACAGCGCCTGCGTTCCGATGGGACCTATGACGAGCGGCGTCGGATAACGAACACCAAGGATAGTCGCCTGTCACGCGGTAATCAATCTTTGATTCTCAAGATCAAATGGAAACCGCCAACCTCAAGATTGCGGTGGGTGGTATCGACCATCATACGCGGTATGATCCTGTACCGCTGAAACGCCTTGATATTCGCGTCGAATGTAGACTCTGAGCCAGCATTCCCTCGGGCGTACTCGAAGCAGTCTGAGGGTACGAGGTCATCAGGGTACGCCGAGTAAGCATATACCAACACCCACCGGGATGGTCTTTGAGTTTCTCTTTAGCTTTCCTTTCGAGGTCCGATATCAAGACAGTTCCAAGTGGCTGCGGCGGCTTTCTCGTCTTGTAAAGAGAGGGAACGAAGTCCTTCCACTGGATCTTGGGTATTGCACTATCAGTATCCTGCAGCATGATAGTTAGTGCTTAAGCCGGGTGACAGAAGATGATCAGAATGCGTTGACAGTCCAAGTCCCATGCTCACGGCCGGGCCCAAGCAGATGCCGGCCCGAAATACGAGCAATATTGGGCCCGATTATTAGCACGAGTACGCATGGCTTCACTCAACAGAGGGTCAAGACAATTATGAACAACGCGACGCGAGTCACATTAATGCTGTATTACCAACGATGCGTCAGACTAGTACGGCTCCAGTCCCAACAAGCCTTGACAGGCTCCTTCAACATCAGCAATCTATCAACCGAAAATCAGCGAAAGATCGCGCGCGCCAGGAAGGACACCTACCTCTTTCGGCGCCGCCACGGACAACACCGTTGGACCGGTCTTCCCAATCACCACTTCGTCCTGATCATACAAGTCACTGACTGATCGAGTTAACAAAAAGTCGGGCGACTAACCTCAATGCGTATGCCCATATTGTGGAAATGCTTGGGGAATTGAGGTGACGGAGGGACGTAAATGCCAGGTTCGATGGTGATAACCATACCTTCTTGCAATCTATGCGCAAAACAATTCAAACAAACAGAAAAAAGCGACAGAACAACGTACTTTGTGTTCCGATTAATCGTAAACGACTCATGTAGGTCTGAGGACAACGTCAATAAACGACGTTTCAGTTTAAGGGATGCCTCACCAATTCCGATAGGATGGCTAAGTGAGTGTGGGTACAGCTCTTTTGAGAGTGTCTCTGTACTGACATTGAGACCAATCTGAGCCAACTCGCTTCGCAATAAACGGCATGAGGCCGAATGTAGTGATAGCATGGTGCCAGCCTCTCCTTCGTGACACATAGCTACTAGAGCCTTTTGTGCAGATAGGACAGCTGAGTACAGATCGCGTTGCGCAGATGTAAATGTTCCGTTAGCAGGATAAGTTCGTGCTAATAGAACCTTATTAGTGAAATGCCGCTTACTTTGAGTGGGGAATTCGTACTGATATCTGACGCATAGCCACTGCAGGCAAGTAAACTGTAAGCATCTTTCAAGACCATGAAGGAAGACATGTCTCACTTGTACTCGCAACCTGCATCGATAAGCAAGAGATCTCCGTTGTCAATAATCATATTATTATATGTATAATGTATCATGAGTGCGTTGGCACTGAAAACTATCAGTATAGAGGACCAAGGTATAGGCAAAGACGAACCCAGAAGCAACGACGGGCACATAGGCTGGCCGCTGGGCGCCGTCTAAAGCGCATATATACTCGAAATGAGCTGCGATTGCCGACTCGTTCATGCCTGGACGTGTAAATCGCATAGTCTGCAAAATGAGGTTACAACCATAAAGTTGGCGGTGAGTATACACACCTTGGCATGTGCGCGCCCACTAATGTCTGCAGCAGCACGCATGACGCGTAACTCGACCTCGCTCTTGATTGCTCTTAAGGGCGCGATCTTCGGGCGCAGGGGTCTCCGTCGCGAGCTTGAAATGAGCGACATCGTAGCCTCATGATCATAGGACCGTCTCGTTAATGGATTGGAAAGCTTCTTGAGAAGTTTCTTGAATCCATCAGTGTCCTTCTGAGCAGGCAAGTCCGTGAATATGTGAGAATAGGATGAGGCTTTGGAGCCTAAGATAGAGGGAAACTCTTTGATAGGATGGGCATTGTCTGCGCGAAAGATTTCACCGGCAGCTCGAACGCCTGTTCTTGGACCAGACCACTTTTCTTCAAGGGGATCTTTCTCGTTGACAAACAAAGTCATAGAGTATCCACGTCGAGAAGAGTCCTTCTCTACTTGATGTCAGAACTCAGTACTTAAGCCGATGGAAGGACCACGCACCAAGGACGACGGCAGACTCGGGTTCCTCGCAACCAGTCAGATACCAGAAATCTGAATCCTGACGAAATTTGTAGCTTACAAACGTCATGAACGTCCAATAAATGTCGGGGCTATACTTACAATATTTCTGCGTAAAAATGAGATACATTTTGGCGGAATAACGCGTTTGGCTTACCTCCGCTCATGTAGGTTGTAGGCGCGGCAGTGAGCACAACCAAGCTGCTCTCCGGCAGGCTCTCCATCAACGCCAGTCTCCGATTCTCATATTCCTCATAGGGTATTCCCGCATTGAGGTCGTTAGGTCGGACTGTACTCTGTTTCGTTTTTAATACTTCAACCCAAGTCAGTCCTCTCACCTAAATGTGGATGGGAAGGGTGTAATGGCTGGCCATAGGGAGACGGCTTCAGCGACGCGCGTCCTGCTGAGCTACCAGTAATAACGGAGCTGCCTATGGCCTGTGCATGGCGCCTGAGAGTAGCGTACATGCACCAAGTAAGGTCGAGGTAAAGAGGAAAGAACAGTGCCGACTTGTGACATCAGCGGCCGCGTTGCTCCGAGCCGATAAACGCGCACGTGAGCCATTCATCCTTCATGGATTGCAAGTCTTAGTCTACAGGTAAATTACAGCAAAGCAGACACGAAATCCAGTTCGTTTAGTTGTCCTTCACCTCCCTTTTTCTATCCCGACTTCCACCAACAATCCCAAATCCAACTTGAAGCTTCGGGCCCATCATGAGTTATACAACCGTCAATCACAAAGGTCTGTGGAACACTCTGTGTGCCGTAGTCGGGATATGCAGAAGCATCGACATATTCAGCCACGAATCACTACAGGACGCGTCTCCCCCTCCGTAATAATCATAGTCAATTGAATACACCATACGCCTGAAATGCCGACTACGGCTCGGTTGCTGGACATGGACAATGTCAATGAACAAAATGAGTTTCCATTATTGCTTGCCATAGTCATGCCACTTACTGGTGGCTTTCCGACCACAACGCAGCGGTGCGCCCATGAATTGTTAACTCTTGGCAGTACTGAGCACTGCTGCACGTTAACGGAGAAATCGGCAGGGGGCAACGCACACCGGAAACACTCGCTGAGTATGTCGACTCACTGCATTGATGCGCACTATTGCGCGACATCCCGGTCCCGACAAGGTAAGTGATCGATTGTTCATTCATGTAGGTAAACATAATTGTTGAAGTTCGCAGTTTCCGAATGACTGTTACCTTACTGATCTGGCGCAGAACGTTAACCGAATCAAAGATGGCCTCAACTTGTGGGTGTGTAGCGAA